GGACGGCTTTGCTCCAGCCCCTGCTGCAAGGGGGCACGAAGCCAGGTAATGTTTCCCCTCACTTCCCTCTCCCCCAAGACCCAGCACCCCAGCTTGCTCTGCCACCTTCCCTTGTTCTTGCATCCTACTCCCAGCCTGCTTCTGCACCCCAGCCCTATCCTACTTGCTGGCAGCCCTGACTCGTGCACCAGACGCCTCATTCTTGTCCCTACCCCAGAGCCTAAGGAGGCCCATAAAATCCACCAACTCCAGAACCCTAGAAAAGTAATTCTGGCCTATGGGAAGCCCTGAACCTCAGTCCCCTTCCCTTCCCCCGCGAGGCTGTGGCACCACAGCAGTGAGCGTGGCTGGCGGGGGAGGGGTGCAGGACCTTTTTGCTTTTCACATGTGTGGTCAGCGACTCCCGACCCAAACAGGCTCCCGCCTCTCCCATAAATAAAGAAAACGGTTTGTGTTGGACCGAATGTTTCACTTTATTTAAAATGAAGTTTGATCGACTACCCTGAGCAAGTGAAAATTAGGTCCCAGGACCCAGCAGGGTCGTTCTCAGCCCTGCCCCTTCCACCTGAGGCCCCTCCCCTTCTGGGTCAGCCCGCAGCCACTTCCGAAATGGGACGTGACCCCCCTTCCAAAACCATTGCCCACCCCTGATCTAGAAGAGGGAGCTTGGCCCTGCTGTGGGGGCAGAGGCCTGGGCAGGTGGCTCTGCGGGGTCCCTTCCAGGCCTAGTGCCCTGGGCGAAGGGGCTGCCTGGGGAAGCGTGTGCTGGCAGCAGGCGGCTCTTTTAATCGAGCACAAAGAGACGCGACCCAGTGGCTGGAAGCTGAAGCTAGACCAGTTCAGATGAGCAATAAGATGCCAGTTACAGGCCATGGGGGGATGGGCAGTGGGTGCAGGTGGGGGGGGAGGCAAGGCCCCAGCTGCCGCCCATGACGGGGTGTTGAGGGCAGAACACTGCTCCTGCATTCCCCAAAGCACGGGGAGGGAGGGAGGAAACTGCAGGGCCCCAGGCTCCCCAGCCCCGGAGCACAGGGGGGAGGGGCGCGCGGCCCCAAGCCCCCCACCCCCGGAGCACAGGGGGGCGGGGCGAGCGGCCCCAGTCTCGCTGGCCCCGGAGCAC